GGAGCTTTTAAACAACACATGGCGTTGCCCTTCACTATGAAAAAAATTCGTAAACGTACAGTGGCAAGCTACCTTACTGATACTGAGATAGACCTGGATATGACTCAGATGTATACTTAACATACCAGGCATGTCGGAATTATTCGCGAAAAAAAATCAAAATGATGCGGTATTTTCCCCCTTATTATGCGGAGAAAAGGATAAATTATGCTGGAAATTATGCGGCATGGCGTCATCACAAGAAAATAAAATCTGGGAAATTTTACATGTTTTTAGATTATTGTGTTGTTTTTTTTGTGTGTGTAAAACTACGGTTTTATCTCTAGTCACGAAATATCGATGGCAGTACAAACCAAAAGAAAGATCTTAAACGGTCGCGCTCAGGATTCTCACTGTTTTCTCTTTATCGTAGAAAGAGTTCATGGACAAATACGAGAATGAAATCAAGCATTTTGGGATGCTTCATGACTATGGTGATAGTCGGGACTATTTGATAAAACATCCTCACTTGACGTGTGATGACACAGCCAACTACTTGGCACTATGGTGCATTAATCTACAAGTACAAGAGGTAACTTCATTGTATCAAAACATTCGTGGTGGCATTTTGAGACTGTTGCATCGCGACTTCAAAGTTCGAAAGAAGTCGTTTGAATTTGTCTTTTCCTACAACGTGGCGACTTGAGGGGAGGGGTTGGAATTTAGAATAAATCTAACAATGACTGAAGAGATTTACGAAAAGATACGCCCTATAAGTTTCACATGTGAAAATAGCACGTTACCATGATTTCATGATTTCGGGCCTTTGCTGGTTTCTTCTTTTTTCCAATGCGGGAGGAAAAACAAGAGGAAGTAAGAAAAATGGAATTTTATCATATAATTTGCTTTCATATGCAATTATATGATAAATAGAATATTTCATGGTCTCTTGGAGATACGCATTTTCTCGTGTTGAAAATCTCTCACTCGTTCTCTACGCTCACTCGTGAAAGATCTTTTTCAACACTCAAGATAATATAAGTATCTCCGCGCGCCCATGTTATACTCTCTATATCTTGCGTCCACACGTAATATGCTCTATACTGTGGGCTGTCGTTAAAACGTTTGAAGAGTCTAGCGGATGGATTTTTGCGCAAAAACATCTATGGGGGGCTCCTCAGTTGAACATGATGTCTTGTGTGAAATTTTGTGAATGTTTATTGTGTCCAAATCCATATGAATGTAGGTAACTCTGAAAGCATTCAAGATGCACATGTAATGAAATATAGTCTGGTTCTTATTATTTTACAGAAAGAGGCATTGATGGAGAGAGTTGCACATCAATGTATCATAATCCAGTACATCTTGGAACTCGCAAAACAGCTCCATTCAGATCCCAAAGCAACCGTCCCGTCCTTTTTTACAAAGTAAGATTTATCAATAGTTTGCAATATATTACAGTGACAATATGCTCAGCTGAATTGACATTTGACGTCAAATTTGTACTAATTTTGTAGCAGAAACCGTGGAACGTCCTTCAGATCATCTTCGTTCATTAATATGAACACCAAAAAACCCGTGAAATAGAAATTACATTAATACACATTTGTATGCTTTTTTTATGCAATTAAAATTGTATTGTTTTCTTTTGTGTCTATTTGACTATCACACTTTCATAGTTAAGTTTTGTTTCACGGGTTTAATGACTATGTTGTAGTTCAGGTTCAATATATTTTTGAACCAGTTTAATCTAATTTGTTCCAGTACAAGACTTCTTGTACTGGTCTTTTTTTTTTTTTCTTTTTTTTGCTTTGGCATTCTTAAAAGAACTAAAAGAACTATATCCCATCTCATTCTCTCCCATTTTCTATCTATCATCTTATTTTCTACCTTCTACTATTTCCTACTTTATCTTACCCTATACCCCACAGAAATATTGACATTTTCTATATTTTTAATTTATGAATAAAACTTACCTTCATCAGGGTTTGAACCACTGAACTCTTGCTTCATAGTCCACAGTACTACCAATTATACCATCAAGGATTTTGTTGGTAGTAATGTTTGCAAATTGTTTTTATCTTAATTGTAATTTATTAATGAAGAAAATTTTTATATAATGCTGGCTCAACCCTAAACCTAACCCTAAACCTAACCCTAAACTGATATGTACTGGATTGAGTTATATTGGACTGGTTCAAAATAAACTGAACCAGTTCAGAAGAARTTGAACTGGTTCAAAATCATATTGAACCTGAACTACAACAACTACACTGTATTACAAGTCCATAAAATAGTACAAAGAATCTAAAGATTGTTTACAGATTTAAAAGTGCGTTCACTTTCCTATAAGTTGGAATCACTGATCTCCATAATTACACCTTTCAATTCAGAATTGTCCGAGCCAAGTCTGACTTCCCAGAGTACATGGAGGCATTCAATGATGAGCTTACGTCGTTTAAGAAAAGAGTGAAAGAACGAGCAGAGGCTCGCATAGAGAAAGCAATGAAGGAAGCAGAAGAGGTGAAATGCACAGTAGCACTATTTTGTCAATACACTGAATGGAGTTCTAAGCCTTTTACGTCACTACTTTATTTTCAATGCATTGTGGGATAGGTTTCAAAGAAAACAAAAGAAATCCGCCATGTTTTGTCCCTGACATATCTTACAGTGCATTGCGTATACGGTACTTGACGTAAAATCTTCAGAGGTCTATAGAACAATCGTTGTAATTGCTATGGCATGAGAGCGGATTTCGTAGGAGTGGGAAACGGGCGGTACTGTACTGTGACCGTAATCGTACTGTAATCAAATTCTAGTGCCCCATTGGTTCACTAAAATCGTGCAGGCCAGGTCCGGTAACTGTGCGGTAACCATGTGGTAACGGTGTACCACTCATACGAAATCCGCTCTAATACTCCATTTTCGAATTCCAAGCGAATAACTGTTTTATTTGACAGCAGATTCAATTACGCAAAGAACTTACAAAACACAAAAGAAAGCACGAGAAAATGTTAGTACAATAGCGCTAACAATTTACATTTTCCCCGAGTTCAGGCTAACCCCGTATTCCCAGAAGGCTTATACCTTAGGTCTTATGGGAATACAGGGTTAGTCTCAACTCGGGGAAAATGCAAATTTTCAAGGCTATTGTAATAACGACATCTTTTCGTGCTCTCTTTTGTGTTTGGTCAGGTCTTTGCGCAAGAGAATCTGTTGTCAAATAAAGCAGCGGTTTTTCGCTATGAACTCGAAACTGGAGTATTACGTAATACTCCTGTGCAAAGGATTATGGTCGCCCGAAGTAGACAGAATGACTGTATCAAAAAATTATACATGTTCACATCAAAACTGCATGTAATAGGGAGAGATCTTAATAGGTCCAATTTCCATTGTTTGTAAACATGGCGTGACCTCATTGTTATATAGCTGTTTCAAAATAGGTTGTCGGATAAAATGGCGAATGTCAATGGTCGAACGGCGATTGCACGACCGAAAGKAGCCATRGGTTTTGCTAGTTGAAAGGCAATAACAACTGATTTGTACTGTAAGATGGTCTGTGTTAAACATTGGCTCCATTTAGTCTCCATTTCTATGTAAGGCTAATCCAATAAGTGAACTTTTTTTATCAAAACAGTGTAACCATAGTCCCTTTCGGTCGTGCAATCTCCCTTCGACAATCGCCGTTCGCCGTTCTCCCCGACAATGTTTTTTGAAATAGCTGTATATAGGACAGTGGAATGGCGTGTGTCAGATGATTGAACATAGACGCTGCGAGCGAAATGTTACATGGGAAATTTCATAACTGTCGGAGTGATTTGTTGACTAGTGCCGTTCTGCGACCAATTGTAGTTAAGAATAACCTAAGTGGAAGTAATTTTTCTTGGTTATCATTTTTCCCATGAAACCTTTTGGTCTCAGCTTCACCGAACTTCACCAAGGTTTTGCACGAAAAGCGCAAACTCACAGATGATCTTTCTGTTCAAAGGTATTTGTTTCGGGTGTTTTCTCTCAAAAGCATTTCAGCGAACCTCGTAATTTTTATTGATTTGTAGACATTGACAATGAGGACAGTATGACCTCGAAACGTCGTAAAAATCACTTGCTGTCTTTATCGTTTATTTTACTACTGATTTCAAAACCACTTTTGATTAAGATTTGGAGACATCGTTCACTAAATTACTGCTTGCGTCACGACCCCTGACTTGATATACGATATGATATGCGATATCTTACGAATTTTTTTTTTTTTTTTTTTTTTTTTTTGCACAAATAGGAGGAAAGACAAGCAAGACTTGGTCCAGGTGGACTGGATCCAGTAGAGGTGTTTGAATCTCTGCCTAAGGTAAAGATGTTCACGTCAAATTTCGTTTGTATTTTGCTATTTTGCTTTACTCTAAGATATATCAGGATCTTATTGCACATATAAATACTCCAGAAAATGCTGAATATGATATCATACAATCACCCTATTTCATTATGACGTCACATGGAAACATTCTATTGTTTTAATGCTAAGGATTTTGGTCGCCAAAGTAGATAGAGCGGATTTCGTATGAGTGGGACACCGTTACCGCACAGTTACCGGACCTGGCCTGCACAAGTTTTGTGAACCAATGGGGCACTAGAATTTGTTTACAGTACGATTACGGTCACAGTACAGTACCGTCCGTTTCCCACTCATACGAAATCCGCTCTAATAGCGACTGCATATCAAATAAAATGAACTTAAGAAATTATTTATACATGATTTATACCAAAACACGATTCATTGAAGTTTWATTTTGAGAGGCAATATAAAATGGGTCCAAATTTCCACTGTTCAGTTTCAGTATCTTTCCCTGATGTAAATACGGTGACGTCAAAATGAAATAGGGTAGCTACTTCGAATACTTTTGTCGTGGAATTCAGGAAATGTAAACTTGTCAACAGGAACTCCAAGAATGCTTCGAGAAAAAAGATATCCCAATGCTCCAAGAAGCTCTGGGTAAAATGCCTGAGGCGGAAGCACGGGAATGGCTCAAAAAGTGTGTGGACTCTGGACTGTGGATTCCTAATGCTGAAGATGCCAAGAAGGAAAARGARACAGAAACWTACGAAGAAGTAAAASAGCCATCGTCRTAATATTTGCTAAGCTTCGTCTTTTAAGCAAAATATTCCTTTTTGGTCTTAAAAATTCAATATAAATGCTATGGTATGCTTCAGTGGTCTCGGTATAATAGAGTGCGCGCCACATAAGCATGAAACAATTCTTAAGTAATTAGCGCCTAATAAGATTTAGTTATCAACTAACTAAGAATTTAGTTAAGCGTGAACAAAGACAATTTCCTTTTCTGGCATTGTGTTCATGAACTGGTGAATTCTTAGTTGATAACTAAATCCTATTAGATATTGATTGTTAAGAATTGTTTCACGCTTATTTGGCGTGCACTCTATTAGATWCATTATAGAGACACCAGTTCCTTGAAGATGTATTAGACTTTATGTTAATTCCTTAAACCATGTGGGATAAGCACGGACTTTATATAAGAGCATGCGCTATAAGTACATGAGTGGATAGCATTGCTGTCTCTGGCAATAGGCCATTTTCATGATGGCGTAACTTTACTACAACTACCAGAGAGCCTTGCGCATTTTTATTGTTATTCAGATTTTTAATCCCCTTGGAGATTAATAAAACAATCGGCACTAATTGTATTACAAAAGAAAGTTGGCAAAGCATTCTGGTAGTTGTAGTTAATGCCGCCATAATACAAATCGGCTATTTCAAKTCGCCTTTGCAGTATGTCATTATTGCGCATGGTCTTGCAGGTAACGCTCGCTTTGCATGCTAGTTCTATAATATTGGAATGGACTGTCATTATCTTTCCACGAGCATTCGTTTCTTTTGGTCAGCGCCCAAGAGAAATGAACTCAGGCTTGGTGTAAAAGTATCTCCTGAATCGAAAGACAGTAAAGTATCTTCTGAAATAAAAAGTAGAAATTGATTTTAAAAGGCATTAGAACCACCTAAAAACAAGCGATCTGAAGATTGAATAAAACGACCAGTGTTCCGACACTTCATTGAAGTTAGCTATTGTTCAACTCTGACTCGTCGCCAGTCTTCTCGCGCGCCAATTCTTCAAGAGACGACTCGGGACTTGGAATTCAACGAGGATTCAGCATCGCTGCATGTTCCAAGATACATTGTAGCGATTAACGAAGGATGGATACAGTTATCCATTCCATATAATAGATTTTGTATTGGTTTCACCTGATGTAAGACGATTTATCCGATGGATGCAGTCAGTATTAGTTTTTTTACAGCAGGACTGGTGCTTACCTTTGAATGGCAAAAATTTACAAAATAAAAAATATTAAATAATGTGAGTTCTCAAAAGATTTTTACTCTTGTTTTGCTCAACCCGGCATTTTTTCACCCTAGATGTATGAATAAAATAAAGTGAAAATTTTAGTTTAGTACATTCATATTAAGGATGAAAGGGGAGGCTAAGTCAGGCTAAGTGGATTAGTAGTTAGTGTACTCAACGATCTCCAAGAAGATCGGCCTTACCAGATTGCGCACGGTTTTGACACACTCTTGGCGTCATAAAATGTTCAAAACTCAACGGCGAACCGAGGGGATCTACACATATTTACACGTATTTGTTTGTTTTGTTTGTTTGTTGTTGTTGTTTTTTGTTTTTTGTTTTTTTTTGGGGGGGAGGGTATTTTTTTTAGAGTGTCTTTTGATTTTGCTCAATTTTAGCTGTTTTGATTTTTTATTTCGTTTTGTTTTCTTCGGTTCGTTTGTTTGGCAAGTACACGGTTCAAGCTCCTGCGTAAATGTTTCTTAAAACATCTACATCTACATCTATCTTTATTATCCTTAAAACCATGAGTATCACAAGGATATTAAATAAATAAACAAAAAAAATAAAAAAATAATAATAAAAAAATGATGAACTCTCCGAAGAATCAAACAAAACCGTTAAGTTWAAAAAAAAATCTTTATTTTCTAAGCCAATTCTACTCGAATCAGACTTGTACTGAAACAAGAACTAATCAAAGATTGAATTGCTTACCAGCAATTAACAGCACACGGGCTGCCTTCTTCGACCATACGGCGGCCATTTTGCGAGAGCGCAATMTAAACATTTCTTCGGTATAAATTTGGCGTCCATTAATTATCAAATGAAAACCATAGAGTGATCGCACTTACTCCGTGTAACTGTACAAACTAAATAGTTCTACTTAGTTGTATTAAGTAAATCGCAGCATGCGGTACGCAAATTAAATTGAATATACAAATGACGCATTCAATACCGTTTTGCTTCAGGTCCACTTTTAGTACAAATTAACGTCCGTACTAGTGGGAAGGAAATATYAAAATTTTCGGGATTTGATTCCTTTTATATGCTCTCGATGCCTATCAAAACGCTGAAAATCGCATTTCCAATAGGTATTATTTCAAAATTTYCTAGGGGAGGACTCCCCGACCCCTTAATACTCCCGCCTTCGGAGGTCGTTTGCCCCCCAATCCAATGTGTCGCGGTACCGGCCATATGCGTATTAGCCAAAAAGTCCACGCTACGTGCCTGAATACTACTTAGATTTTGTACAGTTGCACGCTTTAAGAGCGATCACTAAGATTGCTTACATACAAATTAAAGAGATTAACATGAAAGACGTAATAAACAAAACTTCTTTTTATATCCCACACGTTTGACCAGCTTTAGCCGCAGGCTACTCCTAAGAAAACGGATTTTTTCCTATCCATGGTCTTGTTGCGTTTAAACTGACCGAGAAAAACTGGTGCCGAGAGATTAGAAACAACTGTATGCTAAAAGTAAATTGTTACGCTCAGTTCGGGTTTTTACTTCGCGCTCATCTTTCARGAATTTTTGCGCTGATTTGAATGTTAAAAAATAAACTTTTCATATTTACCCAAAACCAAAATGGCCGCGCCATCGTCGAAGTAGAATGCAATTTACAACAAATTCTACTTCATCTATAAATAATGTACTATATTATCTTGTGTTAGCTCCTTATTAATGTGCGCATGACTAAAATAGTCTTCACAGAGCAATAATACTCCTAGTCCAGAACTGGACCATCTTTTCTCAATTACTATGTTATCTCTATTGTAAAAGTACGATGATTCAAATATAGTTTTCAATTCCGCGTGCSCAAGGAAAAAAGAGGGTTCAGCTCTGGACTACAATACTCCATGTTAAAGTTTTCAAGTAAACAAGCCTTTGCATGAAAGTGAGACAGTGAGCTATTTATAATTATGTTATCATAACGCATAAATCTCACTTAAATCCGTGAAAACAAATGCTAGAGAGCCTTCTATGTGTACATCAGCGYCGTGTACATGCACTGCCAATCTCGTACCCAGAGCMCGCAMTTTTGCCATCCAGCGGAAGTCATTGCGTGACATTAGCCGTGAAGACTCTAGGCTCGAGATTGATTCTCATGGAATTCATCCTTCAAGCTAATCTGCTGATATGAGTAAGACCTTTTCCAGGGTTACCAAATATCATAAAATTAATATTGTTATAATAACAAAATAAGTTTAAAAATATAACAAAAACATTTGGTGAAAAAAATATATAACCAAAAGTAGGCTCTTTCTCAATCTAACTGTGAACGAGTATGCCTTTGAGCGAGACTGGYATAGCGTACAATAGCTCAATTTCATAGGTATGGCTCGATTCCATGGACCCGACTAAACCCTTTATCGTAGAGTCATTTTCATCCGTCTGTGAAATAGGAATTGTACTATTAAATACTATTACCCCCTATTAGCTCCCAATAGTTTTACTTATAACATGCGACAAACAAATTAAAGCAATTAAAACGGTTTTTATGTTGCCTTTTGGTAGCCTAATACACCCTAATAGTTACTATTAAACACTGACTAGTAGTAATTTTTTTTACAGACGGATGAAAATGACTCTATACGATTCTAAACTAAAGTTAGGTCAATAAGCCCGTGAAATATCACACTAATACACCTTAGTACTCACTAAATTGCATTGCTTTTCTTTGTTCACAGTGAAATAGGCAAATATTGTTTCACGGGTTTAATAACCTCACTCTAAATGTAGTTTACACTGGATTAAAATTAATTCATGCTCAATTATTTTGTCTTTTGGCTGAATTTTCTTCGAATTAGAATTATAAGATTCGTAGGTCATGACTGAAATTCTTACAGAAAAATGGAAAAGTAATGAAAATGCACCATTTTTCATATTCACGTTTTGCTTATTCTTGGTGAAATAACGAAAAGGTCGACACTTACAAAAAATATATAAAAAACAATATATAAAGCTTTCAGGATTAAATAAAACAAAGRTCAAACAATTGAATGTTGAATTAACAAAACTTTCAGAAAATGGAGAAAACTAAGCAAAACCMTTATCTCATAGTCTCCTTCGCAACCTACCCTTTTGTCAAAAGAAGGAGAAGGAGACCACTTGCCACAGGACTTGGCAAAAACAGCTGGCCGAAGAATGGACAAAAAAAATTAGACCTGGGCAACCAGGTCACACTTAAAGTTTCTGATTTCGATCCCAAGTGCAGCTTTGGGTTTAGCAATGTTTTTATTTAGATGTCAAGACATAAAGTTGTGAGTCTGTGATACCTTAAAGGGACACTGTCAATGGCACGCATGCGCGAGTAAAGTTGAAAACATTAGGCTTATAGTGTTTTCAAGTTTATGACTCCAAGTTGGCGCGACATAAATCAGCTCGTAAACGTAAATAGATCTAGAATACTCCAAAGTGTGTAAAAAGCACCACAAAATGATTTTACTCGAAGGTAATACTTTCAAAGTCCGTTAGAGGTGAGACTGTTACTGCGCATGTCATCCATTGACAGTGTCCCTTTAATGTAATATGGTATTTAAGTACGCAATGACCATCTTTCCAGAACTTTACGTTTTAAGGATACCGACCCAAAGAAAATGCTGTTGTATTCAAAAGATGATAGGTGATATTCCAATAGCCAGAGCCGACGATGCTAAAGAAACTTCGAAGAGTCCGGGGCGAGTCACTACTAACATACCAATGAAGCCTTCTCAYTGGTTCATTAAACTGACGTCACAAAACCTGAAATAAAACAGCCACAAACATGTTCAGGGGATTATTCACAGGAAACTAAAATGTCGAGGCTCTGCAATAATTCTCAACGAAGCTGCTAAAAATTCACTTCTTCATTATTTAAATTCATTTTTAACTTTAGCTTCCGGGCGTTTAATGTTTATTCAAAGAAATCCAAGTTCATGTTTAGATTTTAAAGTTTTAGATTTTTATTTTTTTTATTGTTTTAAGTTTAGTCCATTTAACATTCCCTTTCATGGAAGCAGCAAAAGAAGTATTTTTTTTTGTGATTTTGTTATTTCACAATGCAAATCCTTGCTTACCAATTTCAAAAAAAGTTGTCGGATAAAATGGCGAATGTCAATTGTCAAACGGAGATTGCACGAAATTAGCCATGGTTTTTTGCTAACTGATGAGAAATAATGGCCGATGCTAGATAGTCTGTGGTAAAAATTGCCTCAATTTAGACTCCATTCCTATGCGAAGTGAATCCAAAAAATAATGTTTTTTTAATCGAAACAGTGTAATCATATATAGACCCCTTGCAGTTCATGGGAATGCAGCCACAACTGGAGGACAAAACAATGGATTCTAGTTCCCAAGAGGATAAAAATCTTTTGTTTTGCCCTCCAGATGAAGCTGCTCTGACGTCACATGCAAAGGGTCTATAGTCCATTTCGGTCGTGCAATCTCACTCTCTCTGAAATAGGTGTGTGCAGCAATAATAGATCAAAGCCTTATTAACTGAATTTTTTATGATTTTATGGGTTCATCAAAAAAAAAAAAAAGATTGAAAAAGGCAATAAAAGTAGATAATAGTGTGTAGCAACAATTTAGCGAAACTAACTTTCAGCTCAGAAATTTTTATTTATTTGTTCGCTTTTTTTATTATTTTTTTTATGCTTTCAAAAATGGAATTTTATAGTTAATTTTCATTATTTTTTTCATTTTTATTTATTTATTTTTGTTGCTTTCAAGAAAGGCATTCTTAATTTTTTTGTTTTTTGTTTTTCTTTATTTTTTATTTATTTATTTTTGTTGCTTTCATGAAAGGCATTTTTAGACTGATACTCAACTGATATTATAACGGCGCCGGCGTTGATATTTCTCTAAAAACAAGACATCGTCATATTTAATTGTTAGAGTTTAATGTATTTTAAAACAGTTTAAATTTCGTAAGTGTCAGATTTATATTCAATCCTTCTGGTATGAATTTATGTTTGAAATGGTTTATGTAAAAGGTTAGACTCCATTTTATATCAAAGAAAACATATTTATTTTGTTTATTTCCTTCCTTCTTTCTATTACCTCTCTTTCTTTCTTTCTTTCTTTCTTTCTTTCTTCCTTTCTATCTTTCTCTCACTTAAAATTATTCGTTTTTGTTAATAAGTTTAATCTTATGATGATTATGGCGGATTATAGTAATGATCATGCCAGACAACAACTTTATAACTTTAATTCGGAAGATTATTTCTATTTATCAAGTTTATCATATATTGCCTATTCTCAAAAGTACAGTTATGTGTCCTTGGCCTCGAATCTATGTGTAAATTGATTGTTTATTCTATAAAATATATAAAAATAAAATAATAAATAATTGTTTATTCTATTGTTTTCTATTCTAGGATCGAGTCTATTCCCATTTGCACTTGAATTTTAAGAATAGTCAATATATTATTAAGTTAAGCGTGGATTTCACTAGCGCATAAGCATAGCATAAGCACGAAGCACGAGAGTCATATGCGCCAGTGAGAACGGGCTCAAAATAAGCATAAGCATGAACACAAGAAAAACGAGCAAGGCTTGAATGATCTTTTAATGTTTACATGTGATATCACTGATAAAAGAAGAGATTAAAGGTCCTCGTCGATTAAACCGACTATGACTTTTGACACAATAATTCTCTGTGAGCTAGTTCTATATAATTAAAAGTGAATAATTGAATGGGGAAATATTCCTTCATTTTATTGTTGCATCTTGRAATTGAGAATTCAATGCATGGAATACCATATTCCAAGACGGCGTGTTCGAAAACATTTTTGAAGGACTRAATGGATTTAAAGTTCGTATATAAATGAAGTCTCCCTTGACGTCATACTGTGTCTTCACCATTCAATTATTTAGTTTATATATCAAATCATTTCATTATTTAGTTTATATATCAAATCATTTCATTATTTAGTTTATATATCAAATCATTTCATTATTTAGTTTATACATCAAATCATTTCATTATTTAGTTTATATATCAAATCTTTTCACAGAGGATGAGAAATTATTGCGTCAGGCGTCAAAAGCGATTTGAAAAAGGTGATAAAAGAAGCTATGGAAGAAAAGGTATTGCAAAACAGCATAATATTTTTAGTAAAAATCAAGAAAACTCCGACACAAACAGAATCTCATTAAACAATTTGATAGTTATAGCTTACTAACCAGTCATCGTTTTGCGGTCAGTTTCAAAATAAATGATATTTTATTCTAAAGAAAATGTCTACAAAGTTACCTTTCGCAGCAATCATTTCTTCAAAAGCTCGATCTTCCTCTTGCTCACTGAATGTAAAAAAAATAGTTTAATTAGTTCTAGAAAGAGCAGAGCAGAGCAGAGCAGAGCAGAGCAGAGCAGAGCAGAGCAGAGCAGAGAAGTACTTAAGGCTTGAAATACCTACCGTTTTCTATCTTCATCTAATAATTCAACCAATAAATTTCGCTGTTCTACAATATCTACTAATTCTTTTGTCTTCTGTTGGATGATGACTTGATCTTCTTCAGTAGACCCTGACATAGTCAAATATAAAAATGTCAACTTTATATATTTTGGTTCGATGACTATGTACAAAAGAACGCACACGAGGCTCCGGGAAAACAATGGATAATCTTGATTTATTCTTTTATTTCCCCGGAGCCTCGTCTGCAATTCGTTTGTGCATGGTCGCTGAACCAAAATATCTAAAGTCGACTATTAACACAACGCCATTTTATAATAAAACCAACTCTCTTCATTTACTATATGATGTATTGAATAAGTATGGATTTTTCATGGTTTTGTTGTCTTGAATATTGTTCAGAGGTACCAGCGGAGCATTCKCGTTCCARTCTCGATCAATTACCCCCTCCCCCAGGGGCRCGATTTTCCCCTYCCATACCTTCCTTCATCAGCAGTTCCCGTATCTCTTGTTCCAACCTTCCTTGTTGGTCTTCAAGTTGTATTGAATTGGCACTAAAAAAACACAACATCATAAAAAAACAGTAAAATTGAAAAATATCTTAAGTTTTTATACTTACTGTATACTTAGTTCAGACTCGTATCTCAGTAGAGCATTCTTCTTATTTATGATCTGGAACCATTGCATCATGTACTGTTGCTCTTCATGCTTGCTTACTGAAGAMAAATATTAAGACAAATATTACTTTATTAATTNGAATGCATTGTATCTATTACGAACTTTGATACTGAATAAAATTCAAAATTGATAAACGATGTAGCTCGTCCTTTGATAATACGTTTGGGCTACCTGTGGCTTAGGTGTCGACTAATTTGCATGTTAAATACTCGAATAACTCATTTGCATGTTAAAAACGCTTATGTGAAATCGTTCTAATGTTGTAGAGTCACAACCAAACGCTTTACCTTACGACCTGAAGTCCATTTAAGGTGGACACGAAAATGGCGGATTTCTTAAAGTGAGCGCGAATCGTCTTCCATCTTTTCAGTTTAGACAGAAAATACCTTTAACTATGTACCTCACAGGTAATATTAATCATTCTATAATCTATTGTTTACTTGACGCATCTAAACGCACGTAAACGATAACGAACCCCCACACAAGCTTAAAAGTTCCGGTCTTTCTTGGTCTTTCTCTGTTTTTATTTGTTCTATTTTAAAATTCTTTTGTTATAAACTGTTTCTGAGATTAGTTCAACATTTACTTTAGGTCCGTATTATGAAATTAAAGGCGATCAAAGATCGCATGTGTTTACTCCAAATACGTTTAAAGGTGAATATCAAACTTCTTGAGGCAGTTTTATTAATGTAATCAATCTGGACACAAGCCAGACATGCAGAGTAGTCCCCATAATATAACACAGCATTGTACTCATATTTCTGTTTTCGTTTTGAGGTTGTTGACTAGAAAAATAGTGAATACAATTTTATTGGTTATTGATAAGGACTATTGAAGAAGAAAACGATTTTGGTTATTCACCAACATTTTATCTTTTAGCAATATATTAATGTTCATTTTTTTTAAAAACTAATTAACAGTTCTAATCTCAATTTTGGATTGACGGACGGGGGGGTTGATTGACGGACTGGGTGGTTTGGATTGACGGGATGGGACGGGTAGGGATAAGTGTTGGTCACGTGCAAGTGTTATTGACAAACTAAATTACTTCCTTACAACACGATGACATAGTGGTTACCTGTCTTAAGACGGAGTAACCACAAAAAGGAACCCTTCCATTTGTAAGGAAGCCTACGGTTCTGTGTTTATTAGCATATTAAGAGTATAGTGGAGTTAAAAACTGTGTAAAAACCAATAGAGATATGAAAACAGAAATACATTTTCTGGAATGAAAAAATAAAAAAATCTCAATGGATTTTCAAAAGAAATCTTGCAGAAGCAAGTTTTACTCTTCACCACTCTTCAGTGAACTTTTTCATGGTAAAAAAATGCCAACTAGCGGCAACAGATATTAGGGTCTATTAGAGGATCTATAGAACATTTTTTAATACAATATCCCTACCTTGTATCTTCTTGCSCCAACTCGCTGGAAACTCTTACCACTTTCTGTTTTTTCCAAAGTATCTTCCTCACTGGAGCCACTAAATACTTCTTGTGGTCGATAATTTTCTTTGAACGATCTAGGAGGCTTGGGTGGAGCTAAAATACAATGCAGATACTCTTAATAAAAATCGGGCATTTGTATTGACCGTCAAAAAGGAGCAGAAGACWAGGRATTAGAACCTTAAACGGTCTTGTTTTTAAAAATCTGTTTTAAAAAATCTAAATTAGTAAATTGGGGAAGCTTTAGTTTCAAATTTTGAATATCAGAGTTACGTGCATTTCGAAAGTACCAAAAAMGTGAAAACGAGGCTGGTAAGGCGTCGAAACTGATTTTTATTCAAACCTTTGCAGTTTCAAACACCTGTAATTTCTGGTCCTTAAAATGTAGAGTATTGAAACGTTCATATCTTGCTCATTATGATATGATCTTACAGTTCCGGTAACTAATACTTATCATATGACCCGAATTTCGGCCCTACGCACGCTCTTAAAAAAACCTTCGGGACATGGTCACGTGATGGGGGCCGTACGCCTTTTCGCGACAGGGCCGTACAAACCCGTATCTCGCTGCGCTCGTTCCGTACGGCATAAACTAGATCCAAATATTTTCCCGTACGGCCCTCCCACTCAGTCAATAAGTACATGTTTTATTTTCACTTCCAATATATAGAGAARCCTCAAATAAGTTATTTTCACTAGTGAAATAACAGCTATTCGAAAGAAATATAGGTATTTTATGGATATATAATTATTTATCATATAATTATCTATGAAATACCTATATTTCTCTATTCGTAAAATTTATATTTTCACTAGTGAAAAAACACATTCGAGGTTTCGCTATATAGTGTACCTAAGAAAAAAAATGTATTTTACGGCATAATTTGCTTTTATATGTAATCATATGATAAACAGAATATTACACGTTCGTTTGGAGATACGAATTTTATCTTCTCGTGTTAAAAATCTCTCACTCGTTCGCTACGCTCACTCTTTTCAACACTCGAAGATAAAATCCGTATCTCCGCGCACCCATGTAATATCCTCTATATATGATAAATATAGGTATTTCACCGTGTACTGTGACCGTGTCAGTGAGTGGGTTTCATGATATCACTGAGAATGACTGTCACAAACAAATGTATGTTTTTACAGTACGTGCATTAACTACCTTCTAAGTGTGGTGATGGTTTATCTTTATACCCAACCACGACAAAACCCATTTCAGTTGCCTCTTTGTCAATATTTTCGTCAATCTCGTCTACTTCTCTCTCTATGTCGTGTACATTAGCCTTAGGTTTAGGTGTGCCTCGTCGTTTTAAGATTTTAGTGCTTTCTATGGTGGACGTGAATGGYTCCTCGTTTGATGGTAATCGCGGTAATGAACGTCGTTGTTGTGAGGGGCTTTCTACAATATAAATGTCATGAAATGATAGGAGTTCGTGGAGGTGAAATGGTCAATGAGATTGAAATTGATATCAAATCCCATAGTGCTCAAGAACACAAGGAACAAAGCGATAAGAATGAATGAATGGAAATTCAAGAATGAATGGAAATGCAAGAATGAATTGAAATGCAAGAATGAATGGAAATGCAAGAATGAAGGAATGGAAGAAAAGAGAAAACAGACATAACCAAACAGTTAAATAAAATTCGCAAAGATGTGCCCTCGTATTATCTAAAATCAGCAAAGAATAATAATCTACAAAYGGAAACCAAAAGCCATTTTCGCGGCCAGAAAACAAGTAGCGCGAAGAGCCATGCTGCGGTTTTGATCTAAAGCGAGCCAGAATCGGGAAACAAAACGAAATTKGTAATGTTTGAGCTTGTTTATCGTTTTGTAGTGTCAGGGAAACAATTTTTGTTGGTAAAAGAAGTCATAATTTTGACATGACGTGACACTCTTGCTTATTTGAGGGCTGAAGCAAACAAGTTACCCGCTTTTACTCTAATAATAGGTACATTGCAATTTTCAGGCCCAATGGWGTTTTTGAATGTTTTTCTAAGGAAGAATTGCTCAGGAGAAATTGTTGAGTAAATACTAAGGCGAAGASCTACCATCTCAATACAGAAAACTGAAAAAGAAGCTCACTAAATAGAGGACATTGTTACATATACCATAGTTTTGTACAGTATTATTTCTAAAGTTTTGTTCACAAACCTGAACCATTTTCAACTTCTTGGTTTAATTCACTTGGCCGDACATGATCTTTTTTTGGTCTCAAATCATTTTCCATCAGCCCTTTTATTCGAGCAGCACGTGATGAAACGAGAGACCCAGTTGATGAGCGCTTAGCAAGAGGAGTCTTTGACGCACTAGTGGGACTAGGGGGTTTAGTTTCTTGCTTCGATTTGGGAATGACTGGTTGTTCATTTGAAGTAGAATCTGTAGGCATTTTCTTTTGTTGTGTAGGTTTAGGACTGGAATCTTCRATGTCAATATCTACTACCTTAATGTTCATTCCTACTTCTTTTAATGAAGYTTCAATGGGAAGACTCTTGTCAATGTTTTCTGGGGTTAGTGTCTGGTCTTCCTGAGAGAAYACGTGCGAAAGTGGTGGGTACATTGCCCTTCGCTGTCTTCGCCGCCGTTCTATTGTCCCTGGTAAGAAATTAATAAAGTAGTCGGATAATGAATTTTGATCTACCATATCATATCACTGCTTCATGTAATTAAAGCAATTAGAATCATGGCAATAATAATTTCCATATCATTAATAAGGTGGTGTTTTTAAATTCCAAGATATGCCAATAACCAGAMACCTTATCTGTACTTTTATGAACACTGGAACATACGACTACCGCAGAAATTAAATGSYCATTTCATGACGTTGTGTCTGCTAATATTTTTTTGATGCTTAAGTCCAGAGTTATTGAGAGGTTTTCTTATCGCGATATGCCAATACTCAGCAGCTTTATCAGTATTTTACTTTGGATCGTGCCGCCATCAAAAAACAACGATCTCTATGTTTAAGGTGTTTCAACTTGTTATCAGCCTTGATATCTTAAATATACGTTTTCTGTTTTATGTAACACTATTTAAAAAAAAGCATTGGAAGTTTTTTTTTTGTTTTGTTTTTTTTTTTTTTTTTGCTTTTCTTGTTACTTTTCCAATACTTACCTAACATATGCAGTTTATCCAACGTAGGTCTTTTCTTTCCAGATGTTTTTTCGYTGCCATCAGGCTCTTTAGCACCTTTTATGGCCTCCTCAGCAGACTTTGACTTCACAAGGTTCTTCGTCGGCTTTTTTTCTTTGGAAATRGCTTCMTGCTTCATTTCTGTGCCAGCACTTGACCTCGGGGAGGGAGGCGGGACCTTSACTGGTGACTTTTTACCACTTTCATCTAAACSATCATCRTCARGCTGATATCCTTTGCCTTTTGCTTTGACTGTCTTATCTGACTTTCTGACGGACGAAATGCTTGATCTTCTAACTGGGCGAGCTTCTAGACRTCGGAAACGGCCAGAGCCYGAACGATTCCGATCAACTTTTTTCTTTTGTTCTTCCGTTTTAGYRGCTTCAGATTTCTTTTTAGCGACATTCTTATTATCGTCTARTTCTGGTACACCGTTGACGGTAGGTGTCGGGGTAGAGWCTTGCTTTTCTTTGTCTTGTGATTGGTTCTTCTTCCTCAGCGCAGCAGCCTGGTGAACAGCTTTGATAGTATCACGTGGATCACTGATGGTTAGTGCTTTACCACGTCGTTTACGCTTCTGGGAACGTGTTTCGGTAGTTTCTACGTCGCAAAAAAAAATGATTTGAATAACATAAATAATGAGATTAGAATGAATTGTACTTCTTTTTCCACTACTGAAGAGTGCGAACGCTAACCGCGTGAAAAAGTACTGGAGTGCTTTCAGTAAAAGCGTGAAACACTAATTACTAAATTGTACAAAATAGTGCTAGTTGGACAAAAGAAAACAAACAAATTGGCTAAAAAGTACAAAATAGTATTACTAGCGTAACACATACAGGAGTATCACTGGAAAAAAATCGCTTTAAAGGTTGTAGATTTGATGTAAATATGGTGTAACTGTCCAAAATTCTGTAAATTTAATGGAAATCATTAACATCAAGTTTACATCATTTTGGACACTTACATCATATTTACATCAAATTTACAACCTTTAAAACGCGCGACTTTTTACAGTGAAAAAAAGATAGGCAACAAATGAATTCGCATATACAATTAGAATTTAGCTCTATATCGTGATTTATCGTTTGGACTATTTATTGTCTGGACTATATAGACGCTT